GTACTACTCCGAGACTGAATAAAATTTTCGTCAATTTCCTCATTTTCTGGCAGATTTTTTAGGTTTTCCACACGAAACCATGAGACAAATTTACTCATCGCTGAGTTCCTGCACTTTTGGCGATTATGAGTAAACTAAACTCAAATTTGGGTCGTTCTCATTTGCCGTGTACGCAAAAGGAAAAGAACCAGTGTCGCTACTTGATAGCAAACTACTCATAATGGGAGGAGTCTTTGTAGCTTTTATACCACTTGGTTGCACATCATTCTGCTTTAACCTGAAAAGATATAAAACAGCGCTGTTGAATGGCATTAGCTCATTTTCGCTTCGGACGGCGTGGTGAACAGCAAAGTTCTTCGAGATAACCGCCATCGGTCGTCTGGCTCGCCGTGGTGGTGTCAAACGTATCTCCGGTCTGATCTACGAGGTGTGGTAAAGGTATTCCTGGAAAATGAGGTCCGTGATGCTGTCACCTACACTAAACACGCCAAGCGTAAGTGGCCATGGATGTCCTCTTTAATAAAACGGCCCTTTTCAGGGCCATCAAGCTTGCATCAGTAAAGAGTTGGAATAGAATTTATCTGTGCTTGTCTGTCCATACTCAGAACCACAAGCCCCCAACGACCACACAAAATGCTCTCCAGAGTTGTAATCTTGTAACCAAACTTGGAAGCAGGGGTACAAGTGATTTTGATTGATTCTCTTAATCAACTTTCTCTTTGAAAAAAAAAATACTACAAATTTGGTACGCCTACAATTCAGAAACGGAAAGAGTTGAGATAATAGATAATTGATCAATTAGGGACTGTCCATAAACTACGTAGACAGTTTAGGGGGGGGGGGGGGGTTGACAATTATCCACGGCCCATACAAATTTTAAATTTTTTGTATGGTCAATTGTCTACGCAGGGGGAGGGGGGGGGGGTCAAGAAACCCAAAAAACTGTCTACCTAGGTCTACCTAGTTTATGAACAGGCCCTTAAAAGAACTAAATGCTCTTCACATTTATTCCGTCCACTAGCGGTCCTACGTCAAGCTTTCGTTCGTGCCCCTAGGCACAGACCCTTCTACTTTTTTTAGACCAACTTTTTGCAACACAGAAAAAATATTTTGCGCGTAAATTTTTCTAAAAACTAGAGAAAAAAACTGCTGTTTTTAGATTTGAGACATCTTGTTTCAATAAAAAAAATTTTAATCAAAACGTATTTTTACGTTTAAAAAACATAAAAAATGAAAGTAATCAAATTTTTACCGATGAAATATTTTAAATCTTAAAGATTATGAAACAAGACGTCCCAATCTATCATCTAGTGAAATACAATTTTAGGTACATTCACTTTGAATAAAAGTCGCTTTTAAACATAGCGTGTGACGCTGAGAAATTGCTAATAGGGTAGAGAACTACTTCGGCCTACTCGCCCATTTTAGGCCTATCGAGCAGAAAACTTCAAATAAATCCATGATTTTCAGAGTTAACAAGTCAATTATGCGTTTGGTACGATACTTTAGTTAATTAGCTACGGAACGAAGTCAATGAGCACGCGTAATATGAAGGTTTGCACCCATTATTCCCAAAAACAAAAGAAACGCTCCAACCGATTCAATTTTTACCTTCATCCGATAGGCCGAAGTGAATTCATTGACGTTTCAATGGCGTTTCAATGCGTTAGGCCGAGTTTAGAATCCGTAGACCGAGTTTGGCGTCAAGAAGTAGTGTTAGACTTTTACAATATCTCAACGATTGGTTTCTCTTTATCAAATGTTACGGTACATACGGAAAGGTAAATAAATTTGGAAGCCATCAGTGATAATAACATTCCGTTTGGTGCTAAACTGCGCTAGATTAAGAAAGACAAAGTGCGGGTTGTGCTTAATAGGCCGGAAATGGGGTATTTAACCCTATAAGTGTAGACGATGTTTATTGACGAGAATACGTAAATTCCCCTTTCATAGAGAGCAGAACAATTATTCCATTTGATATTGACTGAGGAATATTTTGCTCTCGATTTTGTTATTTTACGCGTTAAAAAGGTTAAACGAACAAAACGAGAGCAACCTGAGAAATAAAATACATGAACATCAGAACATCATAATAAGAGATCGATTTGATCTCAGACTCTGCTCCGGTTGATGCCCGGTGTAATTTGAAACTTATCTATGCCATTATGCTTCCAGCAAAATTTTGAATCCCGAGCAAAGTCTGAGATCAAATTGAAAACTAAATTTGATGTTGTGATCAGCGTTGCCAAATTGTTTTAAAACGTATCGGTATCGAAGGTATTAAAAAATCGGTATTTATCGGTATTTACTATTTAATTAATCTTATATGTTTGCCGTTTTTGAAAGCAATTTTTTAACAATGGTAACGACTGGGACTTGAAAGGAAACACTCTTTATTTTTTTTATTTAATTTTTTTAAATTATCGTTGTCCTCCAATGGTGATCGAAATTGTGACCAAGTAGTTTTTTTTTTCAATTAAATAGGGTTTTTGATCTAATTTCCGTCCTACTAAGAACAACCCGCGCTTTACCTCTCTTTTCTGAACGAGTTTGAACAAAAAATGGAATATTTATGTCAAAGATGACTTGCAAATTTATTCACCTTTCCATACGTTTCGTTGGATTTGATAAAGAGTCACAAACACTGCTTCTTGATTCTAAATTCGTTCTACGAGTTTCAATTCCGTCCCAACGCATTGAAACGCCATTAGATTTTCTGTCGTTGCAGTGTTTAAGACTGAGAAAGCTGTTAATCAAAGCAACATTTTAGCTTTTGAACTATGATCGGAAAATTCTGGAAGAAAACTCCGGGGAATGTTTAAATTAGCTTCTGAATGGAGCTGAAAAACATCCAAAGAAATACGAAAGAAGATAATGTTCGAGAAAAGCTGGAAAAACATCCAGGAAACTTCTAAGACACGAATTGAGAAACTTGTGGCAAAAACTTAAATAAACTATCGGAAAAAAATATCGGATGACACATCCAAAGGAAGCCACAAAAGTTTCAGAAACCCGAAGTAGATTTTCAGAAGTAGCGATTTCCAGGAAAAGCCAGAAGATCTCGGAAAAATCTTTCAATAGAAGTCGAACAAAAACAAAACCATTGGCTTATGGTCAAACTTCCAGAAGAAGACGAAAGAAATTTCTGGGAGAATTAATTGAACTTCCTGGAGACGCTAGCAGAAACTTCCTAACGTAGATTGCAAGAAACATCTGAAGAAAATGGGAAGCCAAAGCGCTAACGGAACAGTCGAAAGAAACCAGGACATCATCCCGGAAGAAAGAGATTCCTGGGGGATGTTCTAATGATCCAGAAAATTTTCCTGATATTCATAAAACATCCCTGAAGACTTCACAATTTCCCTGAATTTTTCGGAACATTCCTGAAATTCCTTAAATCTTCTTGAAATTTTTCTGAAATTAGGGATTGTTTTGGAGTTCTCTGGTGATCTTCGAAGCGCTGAGAATTTCACTGATAATGAGAATACCGGAATATCTCTAATCATCTTTGAAGGTCTCTGGACTTTCTTGAAGATTACGAAATCTCTTTAGTGCTCTCAATTTTTTTTTTAATTTATTGTAACATCAGCATTGAAGTTCTCTGATCTTCCTGATTTTTTTTATTTATAAACTGACATTAAAAAAGCATACCACTTCCCATAAATACCTTCCCTTACGTTTCCTAAATTTGCATGAGACCCTCAGGACATGGCTGAAGTTTTCGGAAATTGCCTGAGTTTTTCGGAACTCCTTTATAATATCAGCAGTTTCATTGAAATTCATTGATCTATCCTGATGTTCTCTGATGGGCTTCACTGAAGTTCCTGATAACCATTAAATTTCCCTGAAGTTCTTTGAACTTGTGAAGTTTCCAAAATATTTATGATATTTCTTTAATTTTTCTGGAGTTCGCTGGACTTTTTCCGGGTTTTTGAATTTGAATAGAAGTTTTTGAAACTGTCTTTAATGTACCGAAACTAACCCAAAAGTCTGAACTTTTCTGAAGCTTCAGAACTTCTTAAATGTTCCTGCAGCTAGTGTGGACCCGCAATAAAAATCTGATAGCATCCTTGAAGTTCCGAGAAAGTTGGAAAAACTGGCGGAAGAAGATCAAAGAATCATTTGAGCAAAGGCTGAAGAAGCTTCCAAGAAAAGGTGGAAATAAATTCCAGGGAAAGTTGGATGAAGCTTCAGGCAATTAAAAAATGAATAAAAACGTCCGGAAGTGAAATAATGATTATCTAGGAATTACCGGAAAGAGTCATCGACTTTTTCTCGATTGATGGGTAGCCAATCAAAAGGAGGAAATGCAAACATTAGTCGAAAGAGTATCAAGTGTAAGGCATCTTTTGAGATGATTTTGTAGAATTTTGAAGGCTAAAAAAACATGAGGTATTCAAAAAAAAAATCGTTATAAATCGGTAGAACATCTTAAAAATCGGTATTCTGAGGAACCTTATCTGTATATCGGTATCTAGTTCGGAAATCGGTATAAATACCGATAAATCGGTATATCTGGTAGCACTGGTTGTGATGTCGCTACTCAGGTTGCTGTCGTTTTGGTTTTGGTTAAAGTATCAAAATTAAGAGCAAAAAATCTTCCTGTGACATCACATTGAAAACAGCTATCTGCTATCAGTGAGAGCAAACGGAAAACTCAATTTGATGATAATTAATTTTTGCTGTTGATGACGAAACGAGTATTCAATTTGATGATCTGCTAAGGTAATGAAAACAAACATATGTTGGAAGAGAAAATTTACAGCAAAATGGCCACAAAATGTATTATCAAATTAGTCACTCGCGCAAACTGAAATCAAATTATGGTTCCAGTTTGATATTGATATCAAAATTTGATTTCGATTAGTTGTCATTTTGATGCTGGACTTTGCTCGACCTGTCAGTCCAAGACGTTGGCGGCGTTTGTAAACAATTTGCAAACACACTTTGAACGAACTTCCATGTTTGCTCTCTGTGGTCCAACGAATTACATCACTTACCCATATGGTTCCCTTCACGTTCACGTCGATCATGAGATTTATAATATCCTCGTTTGCGTCTCGCAGGAAATTGAAACTAACCACCCCTGCATTGTTGATCAGAACATCTACAGGTCCAACGTTTTTGTGCACACTGGCAGCCAACGCTTCCACTTGCTCGTATGACGACACATCCACTTGAAAGGCATAAGCGGCTACCTGTTTGCGCCTAAGCTCTTCACACGTCTGCTCTGCCGCCACTAGATCGACGTCCACGACCACAACGTTGCTTCCTCGGCTGGCAAATTCGTGAGCCATGGCTTTTCCCAGCCCATTGCCAGCTCCGGTTATCTATAATGGAAATTACGGAGCGTTTGTTACAAGTTCACTATTACTGGAGGTTGGCAAAATATTCAGCTACCAATACGGTTTGTCCGGATACATCTTTCGGTTTAGGTGGAATCAAAATTCGAATTATGGTCACTACGAGAACTGCCAATGCCATCAATATCGCTTTCACTATATCCATTAACATAGAGAATAATTCCATGAACACATTGATAGGAACACTTTCGGTGAACTCTTCTCCAGAGCGATTTTTCAATTCCTTCATCCTGGTCGATGTGAATATGCTGCGAGATTGAACTTCCCCGAAAGACTGATGATGATGACTTCTGCCATCCCGGCGCAATGAGTGTGACGTGTTGTAGAAAAATGTGTTGGCAAAATTAATCGACAAAAAATATGCACAGTTTTTACAAGCCCTCACCGGGTCCGGATGCCACACAAGCAAAGTTTCCACTTCAACAGTTTAACACTAGGATTTGGAGGATTTTTTTCATCAATTCCACATTACCTCTTTGAGACTTTTAGAACGCGTATCTGCTCTCAGCTCAATATTATTTTAAACATCAGTTACGTATTCGTCTTCTTATTTGTGAATACTCTGAACTGAGTGTTCTGTGAGCACTCCCACAGTTTTTGAATGCTTTATAAGCCTGAAGCACTTTTGCATTCGTATATTATCCGATGACCCAGGGAATCCGATAAATTCGGGAATCGAACCCACCACCTCTATTGTGCTGTGCTCTTGCTGACTAGGCTATCAGAGGGCCCTATTTATTACTATACCGTAGAACCCCGTTAGTTTGAATAGCTAAAATGGAAGGTACACACACACAGGTGCCCAATAGCGTTACGCATCGGTGAAGGGGTACCAGTTAAATCAATTCTAAATTAGCGCCCTTTAATTTCCATTTTAGCTATTCAAACTAACGGGGTTCTACGGTATCAGCTAGATTTTATTTTAACGAGACGAGATCAGGTACGAGAACCATTGTTTAACGGATACCTACATATCTAACTACAAATACTAAGGTATCTGGTTGCACATTACAATCTACTAAAATCTTTTGAACATCTTTACACGTACACCAAGCATCAGTGGGAAAGTTGACGCATACTATTCCACTGAATCAATTATTATTAAGATCATTGACTGTGACGTAGTTTACTGTCGGTGTAAGTCAATAAGATGTAAACAGGTGAGGCCCAGATAATTTGTCAGCTCTTTTGTTCCTCCGCTGTTTAAATGGATGATGGAATTTGACGTCAGCGGGAGAACGAAAGAGACGACGAATTCACATTGGGTGTAAGTGCCAATTATGTTCGTGTTGAGTCATTGCTACTTGGGTATGGAGGTGGTAACCGGATTAGGCTGCGGACAGTGTTCTTTGTAAATATTTGGTCAAGAAGAGGCAACTTCCCAGTCGTGGAGCAAGAGCGGAATGATGAATTATGATTCGAAACGTGGGATGTGATTATTGGTTATTAGCTACGCTATAATTGACAGATAATTGCTGTATCGGAATAATTATCTTCGAAATTAATTTGTTTAGGGTGTTTTCGTTTAAATCTGTTTTGGTAGGGGGCTGTCCATAAACTACGTAGACGGTTGGGGAAGAGGGAGGGGTTCCAAAAATGTCTACGTTTGTCTACGGGGGGGGGGAGGGGTGAAGGTCCTGTCTACGTTGTTTTATTAGAACAGTTTTTTTATGTATTTAGCCGCTTACTATTGTGATGCTTCCATCTACAAATTTATTCCGAATAGAACATTTTCATTGAGAGATCAAGAACAAAACCACAAAATATCCCAATCATTGAACATTATGAGGAAACATCACCACAGGAATAAACAGTTGAATTGCATAAAATTTGGTGTGCCTCAATTCAGTTTTGGATAAATCAGGATGTGACGCTGACCGAATTATTGGCCTTTTTGGATTATTGATTAGTTGTTAAGTCTATGAAATTCAAATGACCACTATCTGGAGTATTATGCAGTTAGAATAAAATATAAGGTCAGCAGCGAAATGCGGTTCCAATTCATCTAAAAGGATTCCATTTCGCTAAGTGCAAACGGTTGAAGGCCGGCGCACAATGCATAAAGTGTCACGCACATTTGATCCGGTTGTAATACGTTCCTGCAAAATAAAAGCTCAATCTATTGTCTAACTATCAAATTTGCATTAACGCTTCGCAAACGAAACAAATGTGCGTGAGCCTTAAGTAAGATTTGACAAATTAGCTGGATATTCAAATTATTTTGCAGTATCATTTAAGGAGAGACCCAGGAAGAGTTGGAGATAAGTGGAAATAGGTTGTGGATACCAACGCTATTCGCAGTTCCATGTATATAGGAAATCCTTAGGACATAGTAATACGAATAGATATTCTCTCTTTTTTACACAAAATTTAAAAAAATCAGCGATGTTATCAGTTATCAAGTTTTGGGTTTTTACTCAATACTCCTTAGCGACTAGACTACCATACGTCTCCATTGATACATAGCTAACATAAATCAAAAAAGACAAGTAGAGTATTATCATCATATTTCTCCTAAGAAGCATTTTTAATTACCTTTCATTTTATATTTTGATCTTTGGAATCGGCCGTGCGGTTCAAAAATTGACTTAAAAAAAATCGTTTTTGAAAAAAAAAATCCATTGGTAATCTTGGTCAGGATTACTAGTTTATGCTAAGTGCTCATAATTATTATACAAATAATGCTTATGCTCATAGATTCTCATACAAGTGTATCCGTGGCATAAGTAAATCATCTCAGCAATCCACGAAAAACCCGCATGGAAAATCCGGAAAACCTTTGCCAGGGTGAAACATTTTTTCTTATAATGTTTTATGCTTGAATAAGGTACACCGGGGTAAGTTGAAAAGAAAGGCGTAACTATTAGCAGAAGTGTGATATCACTGTGATTGAACAGAGTAGTTCCAGGCCAAATAGCAAAAAAATGATTTTCAGACTCGACCTTCTCCGATTTGCATAAAACTTTATATAAATAGTTGCCTTGTATGGTAAATCATTCACATTTCAGCTGAAATTAAGCCATTTTGAATCATGCAAAAAGTTTCAAAATGGCGTATTTAAAATATTTCAATAAATCCACGAAAACGCCACAACAAATCGAAATGACATCTGAGACAATGTTGTAGGAAGAAATAAATGCTTTTCAGAAAAAATATAAATGGTACAAAAATTTACGAAATTTTTGGTAAAAAATCTAAAAAGTGTTAAAAACATTAATAACAGAAATGACCCTCTTTAATATTTTCGAACCATTTTTATTAAAAAGCATACTCAAAGTTCTATTTTTTGTGAAATTTTCAAGTTGGACACTTAAAAATTGACAAAAATCATGGAAAAACTTTAAAACTTTTTGTTTATACAACTTTTTGCAAGTTTTCTCACAGAAAACAATTTATTAGGTCCAAAGAATTAAATTGTGTTCAACTATATACCAAAAAATCGTCTAAACAAAAAGTTAAAATATTTGATTAACAGTTGTTGTTTTATGATTTTTATCAATTTTTAAGTGTCCAACATGAAAATTTCACAAAAAATAGATTTTTTCATAATGGACACTTAAAAATTGATAAATATCATAGAACAAGAACTTCTAGTCAAATGTTTTAACTTTTTGTTAAAACGATTTGTTGGTATGTTGTTGCACACAATTTGATTGCTTAGACCTAATAAATTGTTTTCTGTGAAAAAACTTACAAAAACTAATACATATAAACAACAAGTCTTAAATTTATGCCATGATTTTTGTCAATTTTTAAGTGTTCAACTTGAAAATTTCACAATACAATAGAACTTTGAGTATGCTTTTTAATAGAAATGGTTCAAAAATATTGAAGAGGGTCATTTTCTGTTATTAAAGTTTTTAACACTTTTATGGATTTGTACCAAAAGTTACATTAATTTGGTGAATCTTTTATATTTTTTCTGAAAAGCATTATTTTTCCTACAATTTTGTCTCAGACGTCATTTTGATTGGAAATAACGATTTCGTGTTATGGTTTATTGCAAAGTTTTGAATACGCCATTTTGAAGTTTTTTTACAAGATTCAAAATCGCCAAATTTAAGCTCAAATGTACTTGATTGACCATAACAAACAATTATGAAAAGTTTCATTCAAATCGGAGAAGGTCGCGTCTGATCGATTCGTCATTTGGCGTGGAACTACGCAGTGTAATAAGCACCTATATGCATTTTTTACTGTTAAAACAAGTAGTTGGAAGTAGTTATCTTCCCCAAAAAGATGAATTTTGTATAATTTAATCCAGTGATGTACATATGAAGGCCAGTTAGAGTGATTGCACACAAAATTTCGGTCACACTAATTTTCCGAAATATTTAAAGCATTTCAACTTGCCCCATATTTTTGCACCCCATAGGATAAAATGAAATGAGTACAGGAGCAAGTTAAAATGGATGATGATTGTCACAATCTCATTACAAAAAAACAGTGCAGTTGGTTGGAGGACAAACCAGAAATAGTAGTGATAGATGACGACGAGTAATTGATTGTTGCTCTATCCGATCATTTAAAATGTTTTTCATTGTTACAAATTATTATAACGCATAAATGTATTATGCATTTACAGACAGACTGGGGTCAACTTATTGTAGTAACACTAAATATGTTCATATTGCTAATAAATTACATTTATATTGCGAGTAGTTGTCAACAATTGAAAGTATTTTGTTAAATGTTTATTTCATTGTACTACACTACCAACCGTACACTACAGTACAGAAACTTCGTAAAAAAACCCGGAAGCTTTTCAATAGGGCTAAACGAACACAACAGTGGGAACAATATAAGAAATCCCTCACCACTTATAATAAGGAAATACGGAGATCAAAGAGGATACACTGGAGGCATACATGTGAGAACATTGAAAATACTCCAGCAACTGCTAGGTTGCAGAAAATACTCGCTAAAGATCATTCCAATGGTCTGAGCACTTTGAAAAAAGAGGATGGCTCTTTTACTACTTTTACAAATGAAACGTTAGAGTTGATGATGAGAACGCATTTTCTATGTTCTATTATTAATTCAAACGAAGACCAAAACGTAACGACAACAGCAATTGGTATCATTTGTACAATTATCATCAATTATCACAATTGTATCATGGTACAATTAGAAGCCGAAAAGTGTGCTCTAAGGATTACAAGGTCAGTGAAACTCTTTGAAGGAGACCTTAGACGAGATCTTAGGATTCTAAAAACTGTTAGTATTAACTCTCTAGTAAGGAACAACGAAGACTGGATGGA